CCCCCGCAATTATATTATAAAATACTGAACCTTTGGGTCCAAAGTAAACCTCCCTTCACACTTCATTCTGATTATGTTTCAGAGGTCATCCTGCAGGCCCTTGGGCATCATCAGTCTCGGCTTCCCCCCTTACCCAGAGCTGTGGGGAAACTTGCTATAGCTCAGTTTCTCCATCTGCAAAAGGGGATGTACATGTCTACTGTCATCCTTAAACCTCACACCTGGAATATCATTTAATGTGAACAGCAACTGACATATTTTCTGCTAGACTGTGAGCAACCTGAGGGAAGAAGAAACTATTTCTCTTAATGTAACCCTCAAAATCAAGCCCACTGTCTGTCTCTTAAATGTATAGTTTGGCTCCTAATATAATAGTGCCATCTTAGTAATTGTTAGTGGAATGAGTGTATACAGATTTCTAACTGAAGTTTTTACATTTGTATTGAGATCATAATCATCATTATTATTTTATTATTTAAATGAAGACTTAATGAGTTCTTGCTCTCTGCCATGCACCATTTTAAGAGCTTTACATACATTTTCTCATTTAATCCATCTAAAACCCCACTAAGATGGGGTCATTATTACTCCAATAATTACTACTACACCAATTACTGTAGCAATAATTATTACTCCAATTTTACATTTCATTTAGTTAATCAGAAAACTGAGGGCACAGAGAAGTAAAGAATTTGTCTGAGGTCACACAACTTGCAGAAGGAAGGACCAATTCAGACTAGACGATCTGGCTCCAGACCCAAGGAACTCATACTCTTGCACCATACTGCTGAATTTGGGGATTTTGTAGATAAAGCAGTGATGTTCAATTTCACTGTCAACATGTATTTTGCAATGTCATTTTAATAAACCTCTGTCCCACCTTGTCCAAACCACCTTTAAACTCCTAGACTGTGAGGGCCTCAAGACAGGAGACTGTGCTTTACTCATTTCTGTTTCCATCACTCAGCCCAGTGTAGCACTCAGTAGACCCTCAATGGATATTTGATGATTGAATTAACAAACCAGAAATAGACTGTTTATGTGACACTGGAAAGTTTGCATCCAATTCTTCTGAGAAACAAATGCTCTTCCACATCTGAGAGGTCTGTCATTTTTTAAATGGCAGGATGGATAATGATGTGTATATTATATTTCCATCAGTGATTTTCAGAGTGTGAGACCAGAAGACCAGCGACTACTCACCCCCAGGCACCTGCTCCATGAATATCTTAATGTAGCCATTCTCGGAAACAGAGCCCAAATACTGAACGACGTTGCGGTGCTTGAGGTTCTTGTGCAGGGCTATCTCCTCATGTAGAGGCTGGGAGTGCCTAGTAGGAAAAACAAAGCTGTCATCACCTGCCAAATCTCAGGAGCTTAAGGTCCACATTATATCACCAGTATCTGCCCTGCTGCTGGCCATCTCTTCTTTCTGGAAACTTTCTCTCCCTAGGATCCCATGAGCCTACTCAGCTTCTCATATGTAAATTAGGGGTAATAATACCAGCCACATAAGGCTGCTGGGTGCCAAGGTGGGTCAAATTTCTCAGGCACCCAGTGGATTGCCTGCTGTGTGGTACGTACTCAGTAAATAGCTGTTATTATTATCACTAGTGTGTTAGGGCCTGAACTTTCCAACCATCCTTGGCCTCTCTTACCAGCCTCCATGAAGGGTGGTGTGGTGTTCTAGAAGGTTCTGTTTTCCAGCCTTCTAGTCTCATTCTACAGACTCATCCCAGACTACAGCAGCAGCTACCTAATGGATCTTCCTGTCCCAGCCTCTGGCCTCTTTTGTCAATTTTATCCCCAGCCACCATGCTCCCTCTTCCTAAAACATACATCTCATCATTTAACTTCCTTCACAAAGTCCACTTAAAGAACATATTGCTTAACATGGCACAAAAGGACCTTCAAACTCAGGTCAGACTACATCTTTTAAAATTTTGGCTCATCTCAAGAGTCCTTTACTGCCCCACATCCTACATTCAAATCACAACAGACAATTTGTTGTTCTCTGAATACACTCTGCTTAAAAGTTCTGTTATTCCCTCAGCATAGAATGCTCTTTTCATAGAGTCCTCCTTTTCTACCAAAGCAAAATCATCCCTCAAAGACACCTCAAAGGTGATTTACTTTCTCAAACTTGCCACAACTCACCCAGGAAAAGTAATTCATTTTACTATGTTCTACACACACTCTGTGTACTCCTCTATTATAACACTTGTCACTCTGGCTCCCAGGCAAAGTTTCTGCATTCCCTACCAAACCAGGGATAAGGACAGTATCCTAGTAACCTTTTAGTCTCCAGTGTCAATCCAGAATCTGGCACAGAGAAGGTACCCAATATCGTTAAGTTCAGCTTGTAAATTTAGGAAATGGTACAAAACAGTCCATAAGGTCCCTTTCTAGCTCTGAATCCCAGAAACAACTATCAGCAATGAAAAGCTGAAACAACTATAAGAATCAGTTGAAGGAGGTGGTACATGCCAGCAATTCCCCCGCAAAACCCCACAACTGCAACATCTTAGCCATGGTGCGAACAAGAGACAGACTACTGAATGAGGAATTCAGGAGACTGGATTCGTGATCTTAATGAAGTTATATTCTTCCTCAGCCCTGGAAAAGTTAAATGAGTTCCTCTTAGGTCTTGCCTTATAATTCAAGTATGATAACACACAATCTCATTAAAAATGATTGGATGAATGAAAGTGAATGAATGAAAAAAAATGAATGAGTGATGAAGGGTCTTGTAGCTGCTAGAAATCACTTGCTGGTCATCCCTAATAATTCACTGACCACCTGGATGGCGGGGTGTTTTGCACATGGCCATCAGTGTCCAGCACTGAAGGCAACACTGCAGATGTGCTCTGACCACACCTATTGAGCACGCGGCAGTTATTTCTTATACTGTGGCCATTACTATGTATGTAGCTTGTATACAAAAAAACACTTCACAGTCAGCACTGCAATGTACTTATTTAGAATTAGGTGGGAAATAAATTTAAAAAGGAATAAACATTTAATTATACTCTAAAAATGTTGAAGAAACAAGTTAGTATTATTGGTGATTTAAAAAACAACAACACAAACCCAAATCCATGGATAGAGTTGAAGGGCAGGGTATAAAAGAAGTCTGTATTGCAAAAAGCTAATTAATTTTTTACCACATTTAATTTTCTGTAATAACACATATGAATAAATGATAGCCTTTAAAGTAGTTACAATGTGAATTAAACGACTGTGTCACATTTTTACATATTTGCAAAAAACTGCATAAAAACATAAAACTGTAGACCTAGTTGATAGGTAGAAATAAAACTAATTTTCTTTTAAAGTATGAATGCAATCCACAAGCCTCTAAATGAAATGGTTCCATTTTCTCAATCTACTTATAACATGCAGAGAAAAGTAAATCACTCTTATTACAAGAGAATTGCAAAATTTTTTATGACATAATGTTCTCATCCTTAAATCCTCTGCTCACATTTTGGAGATGGGCAAGGGATTTGGTTGTGGAAGTGGTGACTGAAGAAATGTGGAAGGTCTGCCCACTTGCCTGCTATCTTTCTCTGGGATTTCTTTGATGGCTATCCGTACTTGATTACTCAGATCTCTCCCGGCATACACGATCCCATATGTGCCTTTCCCCAGGACAACTCGATTACCATTCGGATCATGGTCATACTCATACTAAAGGAAAAGAAAGATAAAAAAGCACACTACTTGTGGAGAAGCCCCAGAAAGGCCCAAACATTGTCTTGCAATTTTTAAAAACTTATGAATAATGTTATTTGAGTACCAAGCAAGCCATGTTTCTTAGGTTATGTTCTTTTCATTAAATACTTACTTTAAAGGGGTAGAATTCTCAGTTACCCATATATTCATAACATCATTTTATGAAATGGAATCCAAGAAATTTAAAAATATTGTTCATCTGAAACTTAGCTGGCTCACATTTTGGAGATTTCTCCCTATTTTAATGCTGCAATTTAAAAATGGTTCTTAGCATGTTAACTACACCAAGTAAGTGTTTTCCTGCATGATCCCTTATCAAATTGTTAGAAAACAAATCTCTTTCCATAGCCCAGAAAAGAATTGGAAGGTCAATAAAACTGAAATTGTCTTAATGCAAAGTACATATGCTGGGCTTCCCTTACTTTAGATGTATAAATCTAGCATTACACATACTGTAAAAATTGATCTATAATTAGGATTGCAATTTTGTTCCCTAAAACATCATCAAAAGTTGGTGCACAGCTGCATTCCAGTTGATTCTTCTCGAGGATTAAAACAAATGGAACTCTAGGCTGAGCAATACTTATGTAAAGCAGAGGCAGCAACGGATGGATTCTGTAATTTTCTATGCTCCATGGTGCCGACTTACAGAAGTGCACCGAACAGTGTGTGTGCATCTGTCTTCCCATCTACTTCTACGGGTGCTCATAACAATTAAGATTACTAATGGGTCCCCATCACTGATTAAATCAGACATCATCAGTCTGCTCCATAAAAGGCTTTCTCTGTCCCACATCTGTTACCTTCCAAGTACATCACTCAGTTCATGTCTACAATAAACACTGATCCCAAGCTAAGAATTCAAATATCCGACTCAATTATTAAATGACCCTTTTGACCCCAGCCGGGTGTGGCTCAGCGATTGAGCGTCGACCTGGGATCCAGGCGATCAGGGTTTCATTCCCGGTCAGGGCACATGCATGGATTGCAGGCTCGATCAATGACTCTCTCATCATTGATGTTTCTGTCTCTCTCTCTGCCTCTCCTTTCCTCTCTCTGAAATCAATAAAGATATATTTTAAAAAAAAAGAGACCCTTTTGATATTTTTCTGAAAGAAGCCTCAAGGAGTTAATTTCAGTGTAACATGAAAGTGTAAAATTTCATTAAATTGTAATCAGTGGGAGAACTTGAATTAATGGCAAATCTGAATAACTGTACAAGATTTAAATATATGTGTAATGGTGTACTACAATTGTGCTGTTCAAAAGAGCTTATGATGATCCTATTTGCTTAAAAAGGACTTTAAATTGTTATATTTAATATATTATATGCAAGTAGATATAACTAAGGTCATTGTAGGCATAAATGAAAAAGTTTGCTTCTAGTTAACTGTTTCTCTTGTAATCTCACAAACATGATTAATTGGCTTAGAAAAAACTTTTCTAAAGGTTGTGCATAACAGAAAATTTTAGTCTAGTCCATGCCAAATTTTTCTTTTTCTTAAAAAAAAAAAAATCTTTATTGATTTCAGAGAGAGGAAAGGAGGGGGGGGAGACAGAGATAGAAACATCAATGATGAGAGAGTCACTGATGGGCTGCCTCCTGCACGCCCCCAACTGGGGATCGAGCCCACAACCCAGGCATGTGCTCTGACCGGGAATCAAACCATGATTGCTTGGATCCTAGGTCGATGCTCAACCACTGAGCCAAACCCGGCCAGGCCATGCCAAATTTTTCTTAAACATCCTGGCTGATAGGATCCCTAAGTAAGGTTTTTCTATAGAGATGCATTAAACTTTATCTCTGAAAGTCATGGATAGTGATGATTAGCTCATTCATAAATGAGTATTTTTAAATATGCATACAAAAAATTTTCACACAAAACGGGGTATTTTCTTTAACCATCAATAAATAACTTCTTCCATGTTCTAGGTCTTCTGTGACTCACCTCTAAGGTGTCTCCATCGGTCTCTTCCTCCAGCTCCACTGTATTGCCCATTTCATTTGTTATCATCTCTTTGACCAAAAAACAAAACCTAGAACAGGAAATGTCACAAAGATGCTGCTAATTATGATCACTTTTGTTCCCTACCTTTACTTTAGCCTTCTTAAACTGCAATTAAATATAAACCAAGCTTTTACAAGTTCATGGAACAATCAATCCACTCCTTAATTTGACATGGTACTTTAACGGTTATCTAATCTAGTTCAAGTACCGACATGATACTTGAATCTCCTCTATACAGTATCCCCACCAACTGGCTAGCCAATTGATGCTTGAAAACCTCCAGTGACAGAGAAGTCATTACCTACCTCACAAGGCAACTCATTCTTTGGAAGACTCAATGAGAAATGCTTCACTTATATTAACTAAGACTTCTTTACTGTGGGTCTCATCCACAGATTCCTTAGAAGTAATCCCTTTTTTATATAACAGCCCGTTAGAAAAAGGTGCATAATTTTATTATGTCTCTGTAAGTCTATCCTCCTTGTTCCCTCAAGGTTTTCCCCAGGACTTGTTTGTGAGTCACTCCACTAACAGATGATTCTTCAAAGGTGTCCCTGTACTACAAGTCTGGCCCTGTGACAGGTGTTCCAAGGATGATTTAATTAAGGGCAGTGGGACCATCAACTCTCAAGTTGTAGACACTCTAGTTATTGGTTGGAAATAAGGTCTTGTATAGGCGAGGCGTGAGGAGGAAATGTACAAGTTGGCTTCATCATTCTATTGACACAGATTAAGCTTAATTATCAACTATTAACGCATGTTTCTCAAATGCTGATGAGCCATAGCAGCCACTTCCTAGACTTGGGTAGTTGTTTATCTGCATACAAGTGATTTGACTCATTAGAAATTTTTCTTTAGTATTCTCTGGTAAGATGGTAGGGAAGACTATTGCACAAGTTAAGATAATTTCCACAAGTCTGGAAGTTCCTCAAAAGGTTAAACAGAGTTACCATAAGACCGAAAAGAATTAAAATTTGGCTCCAAGAGAAATGAAAACATATCCACATAAAAACTTGCATGCAAATGTTCATAACAGCATTATTAATAATAGCCCCAAAGTGGAAACAACCCAAATGCCTTTAACTGATGAACAGATAAATGTGGCTTATCCATACAACTGAATATTATTCAGCCACAAAAAGGGATGAAGTACTGGTACTTGCTACAACATAGATGAACTTGAAAATTTTGTATTAAGTTGAAGAAGCCAGTCATAAAAGACCACATATTGTATTTTATATATAAGAAATATAAAGAATAAGCAAATCCATAAAGATGGAAAGTAGATTAATGGTTGCAAAGGGCTGGGGTTGAAGGGAAAATGGGGAGTGACTGTTAATAGATCTTGAGTTTATTTCGGGAGTGAATGAAAATATTCTAAAATTACATGTGATGATGATTGCAAAACTGTAAATATACTAAAAAAAAGATTAAATTGTGTACTTTAAATGTTTGAATTGCATGGTATGTGAAACATATTTTCCATAAGTTAAAATTTCAGGAAAGGCAGTAGAGCAAATAAGTATTTTTCACAACGAAGGCCCTTTTAAAATGATTCACCACAACTAGACTGAAAATACTTGAATAATCTATAACTCACCTACTACAGTGCTTTTCGGTGGAAAAGCAGATTTGAAAGTCATCAGAATGATCATAGATGTAAAGAAAACAACACCGTTCATCAAACTTGGATATGCTATAAAAATTCAAAACATAAGAATACTTCTTATATATGTTATAATATTAATTTTCAGGTTCTGAGAAAAATCTATTAACAGATTTTCTTTTTCTTCCATTTTACAAATTTTTAAGATTTACTGTTTTAACGAATACCCCCCAAAATTTGACTTCTACTTCTCTATGAAATTTAAATAGTAGGACATTTATCTTGCTTATCTTTGAGTTTATATTCATCAACTGACTTTATTATGTATCAAGAACTTATTATATATGGGCAGCAGAAAAGGGGATAAAATATGGTCTCTGTCCTCAAGAGTTTATAATTTCACAAGAAAGACAGGAGAGGTATTTGTGAAATAATTTATCATAATGAAGGAATTTCAAGATTTCAAAAACATCAGGACACAGTATTTGTATACAAGGGAAGTAGAAATAAACATGGCAACTTAGCTCAAGAAAGGTATTTATTTATTTTTCAGACAGGGGAAGGAGGAGGGAGAGAGAGATAGAAACACTGATGAAACAGAAACCATTGGCTGCCTCCTTCATGCCCCCTTATTGGGCATTGAGCCCACAACCCTGGCATGTGCCCTGACAGGGAATTGAACCATAACCACCTGGTTCATGGGTTGGCACTCAACAGGCCGGGCTCAAGAAAGGCTTTTAAATGTTATCTGTTCCATTCCCACCCAAGGTCTGGATCTGACTCTACAAATTTTCAAATAGGCAATAATAATCTTGCCTGAACCTATCCAGTGACAAAAAACCACCACACTCCATCTGCTGATGGACTTCACTGCTAGAAAGCTCTTTACTCATACTGGGCCAAAGCTACACAATGGCCTCATTTTTGCTCTTTTTGAATCATCTCTCCCTGAGATCCATAGCTCCTTTGACTGTTCTTCATATATTATGGATTACATGATAAATACTGAGTTGAAATAGCAATAGTACAGGGTGATTCAAAAAGAATTAAAACTAGGTTATACACAAGTGAATTTTGAAAACCAAGCTATAGAGGAACTACCACAGTTAGTTGGATAGCACTGGGAATTTCAACGCATGCTCTCCATATCACATTGGTTCCAGGGCCTGATTCACCCCAGGCCCTTGCATATCCCTGATGATGGTTAAAATGGCAGCAAGAGGTATCTCTACAAGCGGGTACAAACAGAAGGTTCTTGACTACATGTTCGCATACAACTTAGTTACTGAGTAAATCACTTTTTAAAATGTTCAATGCTTTCCAAATTATCTTATATTTTCTGAGCAGTATTATTCAAATACTCTACTCTGTTCTTAAGTTATTTCTCTCCCGTTAAAGTGACGTAAACATTATCCTAATTTAAACACTGATATGTCTAGGACAGGATCATACTGTGTCTGGAGGTAACAGGTGATTCATTCAGTGGCCTGTGGACTCAGAATCAGAGAAAGGATATAGAGCTATAGTCCAAGCCCTTAATATGATGAAAACTAAAAGAAACTGAGACCTAGAGAGGCTGAGTGACTTTCCCAAGGTCAAACAGCAAAACAGGGACTAGAACTCACATCTCTTCAGACCTGTTCCCACCCTCAGATGTGCTGGCAGAGTGTAGCCACATGGTTCAAACTCAAATGGTCACCACTCGACCCAAAGAGCAAGTACCACACCTCTCCTCAGAACACACTATCCTACTCCCTCACTAATAACAATGCCCCGGAGACCTCAGCCAAGTGTCATTACCAAGTAACTCCCAGCTTTAGTTCTTGG